TGAGCGGAACGGAGACACCAAGTGGCAAGACGCGGAGAAGCTCGAGCTTGCCCAACTCATGGAGTACGACACATTCGAGTCACTAGGAAAAGGCACACCTGTCCCCAAGGGATATCAAAAGATCCCTTGCCATATGATCTACACCGTCAAACACGATGGACGCCACAAAGCAAGGTTTGTCGCCGGCGGTCACAGAACAGAGACGCCAGTAGACCCGACATACTCGGGCGTTGTCTCCCTTCAAGGGATCCGTCTTGTAAGCTTCCTAGCTGAACTGAATGGACTGGAACTATGGGCAACGGATATTGGCAACGCTTACCTAGAGAGCTACACCACAGAGAAGGTGTGCTTCATTGCTGGTGGAGAATTTGGGGAGCTAGCTGGACACACTATGAAAATGATCAAGGCACAATATGGCCTCAAATCATCTGGAAAGTGTTGGCACGACAAGCTCCATGATGTGTTGCGTGGCTTTGGCTTCGAGCCCTCTAAGGCTGAACCAGACATTTGGATGCGAGACTGCGGTGACCACTATGAATATATTGGCTGCTACGTCGACGATCTCCTCATAGCATCTAAGCAACCACAGAAGATCATTGATATGCTGCAAGCGCCACCCCACAAATTCAAGCTCAAAGGAACCGGGCCTGTCACCTATCACCTTGGATGTGACTTCAAAAGAGACAGTGACGGTACACTCTCAATGACACCCAAAAAGTATGTTGACCGTGTCAAGGCACAATACGTGTCTTTGTTTGGGGAGAACCCAACCACCAAGGTCACCAGTCCCGTGGAAAAGAACGATCACCCGGAACTTGACACTTCCCCTCTATTGGATGATGATGGCATATCCAAGTACCAGTCCCTCATTGGGGCTCTACAATGGGCCATATCTCTCGGAAGATTTGATATTGCTGTGTCCGTCATGTCCCTCTCATCATTCAGGGTTGCCCCAAGAGTCGGACACCTCGAAAGACTCAAAAGGATTACTGGATTCCTTGTCAAGATGAAGAGTGGAGCAATCAGGGTCCGCACTGAAGAGCCTGACTACTCCCAACTGGAACACCGTGTCTACGACTGGGAACGGACAACATATGGCGAGGTCAAGGAAGAGCTCCCAACCGATGCACCACCACCAAAAGGCAAACCAGTTGTCTTGACTACCTACGGGTAGCAGTAACATAAGACAGACAGTTTGTTCTCACACATCTAAGAAGCGCATAATGGGGTCTCGCGAAAACAGCGAGGTCTGGAAGGTACCGAACGACATGCGTCCCTAGGCGATTGGTGACGTCATTGCTCCCGGATTTGGATGGTTTTTCTTGTGGAACAGGTACTGGGTTCTCCATTGGGTGTGGCAGTATGCACCGTTTTGGAACCCTGCATGCATCCTAAATTCCCAACCCCATAGGTACCGACCAATTTTGTGGTCCCGTTTTGTCCCCTATGCCATACCAATGAACATGGAAACTACATACAGAATCCGGTACAGAGCGGTTTGGGGGTTAGCTTTTGGTAACCACACTCACATTTTGTAAGGTCGTGTAGACTTTGCCTAAGGTATTACAGTTCCTTTATGTGACCATCTCCCTTTCGGGCATCTTATCTACTTGGTGCTGGCGTCGTTTGGCGCCAGTGGGTGTACTCACAATGGGTAGGCATTTAGGTAGATTGATGACTCAGATGCGTGGGGCTCACCCCACGTATTCTTGCATCACAAAAGCAACTTCGTTGCCGCAGTTAGTCTAACAATAGCGAGTATTTAACCCCCCATGTTGTCTGAAGAGTTTATCCAGTGTAACGTGAGCCTCTGAGCGAGTTGCCATGGGGTATGCGACGACACAATGGAATCTTGTTGCGTATATCCTCTGTACGTATTTGTTTCCCAAAAGACTCTTGGATTGCCAATGAGTGTGTTGGTGTACAGTTCAACGTTCAGTCTTGGGTACCGCAGCTGGTATGCGTAAGGCTTGAGCCGTCTTCCTCTGGTTGTGTGCGTAAAATCGCGCACTGCTCGCTGGTTTGTTTGTTCTATAGTGCATTCTGCTGTCTTCAAACCAATTCTCCATTGCTTGGCCAGCTGTTCTGCTGAGACAGACCTTTTTCTATTCTTGGTCTGAACCGAATGGATACTGATTGGCTTCATGACTTGGGCGTAGGCGACAACATCATGGGCTACTGATGTCCTTGTTCGTTGGATATTGGAAAGGTTCCTTGCATTTGTGGCAGTTGGTCGGTTTGATAGGTCTGAGAGCACTCGGCCAACATGGTTGGTGGAGTCTCTGTGGTCGCCGTGTTCAAGGCTGCCACGTAGGGTAGCTTCATGGTCTTGCCATTGGTAGTCATAAGGGTCCCACGTTGCCTCACAAGCAAGCCAGGTGTACATGTATGCAGTTGTCCTCTGACTGGACTTCTTGTAAGGTGGGTTTTCGAGTTTGGAAAGTGGAATGCACTCCTCGTAAGGTAAGGGGAATGTGCATTGCCGATTCGTTGTCCAGTATCGAATGTGTTGTGATGCTTCTGTCACTCGTTGGGATGTGGATCAGTGGTGTCTCGTTCACGACTATGTCGTGGTGACGCACCTGGAAAGAGCTGAGTAGGTGTTTTTTCATGTCTTTAACGTAAAGAGCTTGGTAAAAGAAGAGAGTGTAAGTGTTAAAAGTTATGGGGCAATCGTAAGCAACTGCTGCTGTGACAATGGATATACTTTCTGCCTTCCCTAATGTCGGAAGGAAAGGTTCAACTGTTATTGGGTCTCCGGTTTCTTGCACTATGAATGCATCAGAACTGAAGGCACAAGTGTCGGCATGGGAGCCTAGTTCTGCAAGGAAATGTGGTATGGCAACACTGACATCAGAGATGTTCATAGTATTCCGGATCATGGACGTCAAAGTCGCAACGACTCGGCGACGTCGGTTCATTTGGGTGCCAACTCCAGGTGGAGCCGGTGCCGCACTGGCATCTTGACCAGTTGCAGTATCGTCTGGTTGTACTGTTGCCTGTTCGAGAGCCGAAATGTGGGCTTCCATTGAGGAGGTTTCCCTCTTCCTTTTCTTGCGGTTCTCCCTTGCCTTTCTAACTCTAGCACGGCCCTCTGCGGAGATCGTGTTCCACTCAGCAACCATGCAGGATCTGCCTGGATTGGATGGATTGAAAGCGCTAGAACTTCTGTCACTCCCTCCTCTTTCAGAGCCACGTCCTCGTCCATTACCCCTGCTGACCTCCCGATCTACCAGATCTACCTCCACCACCCCTTTCAGTAGCAGAGACTTCCCTAGTGCGAGTTCCTGTCGTCTTGGCTTTGTTGGAGAACATTGAGACGTAATCCATTGCTCCATCGATATCCTCATCGAATCTTTCATTGGCCATAAAAGTGGCCTTGGCTGCTGCCAGTTTGGCATCCAGCAGTCCTTCCAGAAAGACGTGTACCTTTCTAGATGCAGGTACCGGTTCGCCATTTTCCTCGAGATCTGTGAATGCTAGCTCAAGACGCTCACAGTACTTCTCATAGGTGAAGTTCCTTGCTTTTCATTGTAGTAGGCTGTATCAAGAATAGAATCAATGGCCGTCTTGATTTTGGATCTGTGGGAGCTTCCCATGTAGTGGTTCATGACCGAGAAGTATGCAGCTCTCCCGTTAGACGTACGGCTGTATGATTTAATCCAGTTCCATCCTGGACCACCATGAAAGACGGCTCTGAGCAGCATAAATACTGCTTTGTTATCTCTCTCGTAATGAGTGCCGTTGTGCTGACCACGTCGAATGAGCTCTTCTTGGATCGTAGGCCTGCCATATCCAGGGTCATTCTGCAGTGGGATCATAACTTCGGGAAGCGCTTGTACATCCCTTACAACGTACTAGATTAGTGGGATGCCAGAGCTTCCGAGGCGTCTGATTAACACATTTTCAATGTTTTCCATTATCTTTTGGATGTCTTCCACCTTGGCCATGGGCTCGGGATCTTTGATGTCTTCCTTCTTAGCTTTTCCCCCGTACTCAAATAGGGTCCAAGCGGCATTCAGGTTTGCGAGGGTTGCTCTGTTGCTTCGCCGCAAAGTCTCTTTGGATCCTGTAGTTGTGCGAGACGAAGTATCTGAGCTGCCTTAATCGCTTCTCAATGATGAAGCTGACCGGATGTCTCCTATTTGGAATCGCCCGGGGTTGAATGGCGGCAGCTGCCCCTGCGTCGGCTGCTGCTGCTGCAATCGCAGGATTGGGTACTGTACCACTCGGATTCCTGACGTTCTTGCAGTTCTCTTTGATGTCATCATCCATAAGCATACGGAAGATGTCCCAGGCGTCTAGGCCTTGGTCATTGAGGAGAGTGTCCCTTAGCGGTGCACTAGTAATTGCCAGAGTGTTCTGGAAATAGTTGTTCATAGCGACCCTATTGGCTGCCATCTTGCGTTCGATTTAGTTATCTGTCTGGCTGGTTCGAGCACCTGAGAGAAGGTCTCTCACTCAAGGTGATACCGTCAATGATAAAGGTCAACGATATTCGTTAGTCCTTCGCCAAAGCGTTGGCATTTCCTAAGTACATTAAGATATTTAGAAGTTAAAAATACTGGCCACTTCCGTGCCTCACTTTGGATCTTTCGACAAGGCGTCCCTTGTCTATCCTTTTGGACTTTGTTGACCATATTGATCTCTCTGTTGCCCCATTCTAAGGCAACTCTCTTGCGTTGATCCGAATCGATGAATCGATACCTCGATACCGTAGCGTTAAAGGTTCCGGTTATAATCATTGTACTGGGACGATGATAGCCAATCTTGTAGCTGTAGACGTCACACGCCTGATAAGCCAAATTACCACGGTGAGGGTGATTAGAAATTGTGTTCTATTTGATTATTCATGAATGTTCCATTCTAGTACGGTCTGTCCGTCTCACCCTTCTTTCGTGAAGATTCAATCCAATCATTGGATTGAGATTCGATTCAATACAGCACGACTGTACACGTGTACCCTGATCCCTAGTGGATATATATTTTCAAAAAATGGACTCGACTCGACTCCCATAAGTGCTCGGCTGTGACGGTTTTGTCAACGTAATTTGCTTAAGAAGAGGACGCGCGCCAGTGGCTATCACGCCTCGGACCGATTTTGTCATTTGGATCACGTGCTCGCATCGGAAGAAAGGTTGTCTCCACACCACTGTTGCCTGCTAGCTAGCTAGTGTCACAAGGCGGAGGAAAAGATGGACAGGTGTGTTGATGTTGATGCTGATGCTGATGCGCAATGGTGACGACTGACTTTGATTTGCAGTACCTCGCAGTGCCGTGTGCTCGAAATATAGAGTTCATCTCAATGAGATGAACGGATCATCCGTTGGGTCAACGTCCTGTCTCTCCATTCCAGACAAACTCTCATTCCATCCCTTTGCTTTGTCGTCTGTTCTATTGCAGGTATCAGAAGATCGAAAAGCCAGATTCCAACCTTGGAGAAGGAACCTACGGGGTGGTGTACAAAGCACGAGATCGCAAAACCGACGAGATCGTTGCTTTGAAGCGCATTCGCTTGGAAGTCGAAGATGAAGGCATCCCTTCCACTGCCCTCCGCGAAATCAGTCTACTACGAGAGCTCAGCCATGAAAATGTCGTGGAACTCAAGGATTGCGTCCAAGAAGAAGGAAAACTCTACCTTGTTTTCGAATTCCTCGACAAAGATCTGAAAAAGTACATGGAGTCATGCTCCGGACTTCTCGATCCCATGTTGGTCAAGTCCTACCTTTTCCAGTGTTGCCGTGGGCTCGCCTTTTGTCATGCACGGGGTGTCATGCATAGAGACCTCAAACCTCAGAATCTCCTTGTGACGCGTGACGGACGGCTCAAGCTAGCTGACTTTGGACTTGCCCGGGCCTTTTGCCCACCCATACGACCGCTCACCCATGAAGTAGTCACCCTGTGGTACAGACCTCCTGAGATCCTTCTGGGGTGCCAAAGCTATGCACCACCTGTAGATGTTTGGGCGATTGGAACCGTCTTTGTCGAAATGGTCACCAAGCGACCACTTTTCCCCGGAGATTCGGAAATTGACCAGCTCTACAAAATCTTCCGACAGCTGGGAACCCCCAACGAAGATGTTTGGCAAGGTGTCACTCAACTGCAGGATTGGAACACCGCATTTCCTATCTGGTACAAGAGTCCTTATGCCAAGAGCGTAACTGACAATTTGGATGCGTCTGGGCTCGATCTTTTGGAGAAGTTGCTTGCCTACAGTCCAAAGGATCGCATCTCCGCCAAAGAATCCCTCAATCATCCCTACTTTGACGAGCTCGACAAGGAAAACATTTAGATCTGAATGTGAGCGGTGCCATCATGCAGAATGCACATTCTTGTGGTCCAACAATCTACCATCATGTCAGTTGAGCCTTTTTGCCGACAGATCGCCATGTTTGCTATACCTCCTTTGCTTTTCAGGCCGCCCATTGTTTAGATGGGGGCATCATCTAATGAATGGTTGTCTACTTGTTTTTCAGCTAGTTCTTTTCACTACTAATATTCACTCATTATTCTCAATTGATTTTGTCCTCCCCACTAGTGGTAGCAACTATCTAGCTAGCTTCACCACATCGTCTTCGCAGGTACATGTAGCAACATCAATCGCGAAGGCAGTTCAGTTAGTTCGACAAGGTAGCCAAAACTATTATGTGCGGTCTCGTGATGCCGTGTCTATACCGGTATCTGAAGTTCCTTTCGAAATAAGATGCACTTCTCTCATTCTAGCTAGCTACCGGTACTGTACCAGGTGCATACATACCGGTAGCTAAAAGCGACACCATACTTCCGAACGTCATGGATGCCATACGGTACGGCAGCACCCAACCTTTATCCATTTGCTAGTGACCCGCAGAGAAACGGGGTCAGGGCAATGAGAGTGGGTATCAACCAGAAGCACACGTTGTAACTGCACTCTGAAGTGTGCACAAGGCAGCTGTCCAGAGCTATAGGGCTGGCCGCTCTCGGCAGTTCAGCCCGCTGCGTCGCTTGCTTTCCGTGCAAGGAATATACGGTATGATCCTTGCTAGGCTAGTACTTGACAATCAAACAATCAATACCGTCCTGGAGTCGCCGCAAGGAGTATCTACCGAGTAGTGGTTAGAATGGAGTACGGTACATGCCAGTGTGAGACACCCCACAAGCTGCAACTGGCTAGCTAGGCTAGTACCATAGAACAAGCCGCCTCGGTTACTCCTTTGCATGGCCCAGGTCCACCTCTGACCATCGCAGCCCAACGAACACCACTGCGGAGGTCTTTTGCCCCCCCCCCCCTTTGGTACGGGTAATGGCATGCTACAGCTACATGTACAATAACCTTCCGCTGGAGACGCAGGAATCCTCGGGACAGGAAATGTGTACGACGAAGTGTTTACATACTATTTTTTCTAGAAAGACCCAGGAAGTCGACCGATCGCGCGGTATGTAAACTGTACTCCATTCCACTTCACTCGCCTTCCCTGCTTCATCCTAAGCACCCACAATCCAATCCATCCATCCAAAAGCCACCGGCGCCCGAGCAAGAAAACAGGCAAAACACAGCACAGTGAAAGGCTCAACAAATAATACTCGGGTCGTTCCGACGTTTTCGTTCAATTTTCCAGATGTTCATTCTACCATAGTTCCGTTCGCAATTTTAGTTTCGGTACGTTCACTCCTCGTTTTAGTTTCCACCAGGGAATAAAGAGAAACGCCGTAGGAGAGACCAGGAGCTACATTGCATACTTGGAAGTCCATTCCCGAGCAGTACTGTCGTGCCTGGCTTTGTCTGTTTTCAGCAGTTGAGCGATATCTGGAACGAGAGGATCATCTGGGTTGGGATCGGTAAGAAGGGAGCAAATGGATAGGAGGACCTTGCTGATGGTCAATGCCGGACTCCATTGGTCCTTCAAAATGTCCAAACAAATTCCACCGTTGGAGTTGATGTTACAATGGTAGATCCGAGTAGTGAAATGGACCTTAGGTGGCTTGAAAGGATAATCGGCTGGAAAGTGAATGTCTAGAAAGAACACTCCTCCTGCATATGGCGAGTCATCGGGTCCCATGATAGTAGCTTGCCAGTGAAACATATCGTCACCAACTGGACCTGCCGAGCAATTGGCCGGAGGGTCCTTCCCCAAATCCACTAGTTCTGTTGTTGAAAACACAAAGAGATGGTCAGCACAGAATTTCTCATATCCCTTGTAAACTGTCCCCTCTGACTTGTCGCTCTCAAATCTCCAACATGCGGAACCATAGAGCGAGAAGAACCAACCGGCTTCTCCAGAGCAAGACTCTCTCTGAGACCTCCCGTCGTCTTTTCCATCCGTCAAAGCTCACCTTTGTTGATCCGCTTCAGCGACATGGTAGACTATTGTTTGTGTGTGTGTGTGTGTGTATGAAGAGGTTGACCAAGAGCAGAAGCAAACAGTGTGTCTCTCTGGGGGAAAACTGCTGATCCGCAGAGCAAGAAAAGGACAATGAGCGTGGTGAGAGTCACTGGTACGACAAAATCAAAGACCTGAGTCACGAATTCCCTCGATCCTTCGGGCGCGTAGAAGTTAGTACCACAAAGCCCGAGCAAAGGAATCCGGCATTGACACGGGAATCATCGCGCGCCTTTCGCGAGAGAAGCCGAGAGATGACCATGGTCGTTCGATTTCCGATGGCTCTAATCAACTCCGTTTGCGACAACATCCAGCGGCAAAGAAACACAATGGCGTCGGGGCCAGCATATCCGCAGCCGCAAATAAATTCCATGCCGCGACGAAACACTTCGCAGCTATTGCTACTCACCGCGACGAGAGGTAGGCACCAGCTCTTTTTGACGGTCTCTGCTGGAGGTGTGAGCTTCGAAAGGGAGGCCCACACGCCAACACCACGAACTCAGCCAGCGAGAAACCAGCTGAGCTGTAAAAGCATCAGAACAGAAATGTGCATTCGAGGAAGACAATTGACAGATTCATTGGAGCCATTGGACTATCGTCACAGACCAACAAGCTTGTAATCTGATAACCTTCGTCTAGTACCAGACTATAATACTACGCATAATAGTGGGGGGACATCTCTATCAGCCCTCTCCTGGACCGTCCGACGGTTTTCACTCAGGCTTTAAAAACGGGCACGACTGACTCAAATCCTGGTTCACGTTAAGGGGTTGTTTATTTAAGGCGTTGTTTATTTAAGGGGTTGTTTAAGGGGATGTTGAAGCTTTAAGGGGTTGTTTAAGGGGTTGTTTTGAGAATGTTGTCAGTCGTGGCATTTTGAAGATTTTTAAATCCTGAGTGACAAGCGTCGGACGGTCCTGCAGATACTGGAGTTAGTACCAATGAATGACAGATGGCCAGAGATTTAATGAAGCTTCTGAAGGAGTGAACACTTCTCCTATTCACATGCCAACTTCAATTCAGATATCCGAGACTATCGTCATAAAGAGCTCATGGAGAAGGGCATCTTCATTCACGTGCTAGATATACTTTCTTTCAAATCAAACCAATCAAGGATATGGCACAGGAGTGACATCTCCTAGTTCTTGTCCTTTGGCATTCCCCTCCTCATGAGTATCGAGTGTTACCGTCAAACTCTATCGCAAAGTATCATACTATGGCCTCTACAGAGACGATGGATTTGCGATTTTTAAAGGAACTTGGACATATGAAATGATAGTAGAATGGAGAGCTAATTTTCAGGCCAAAGTCAACAGCCTAGCCGAAGGAGACTACCTAGTATTCACCTGTAGCATATGGCTAGACCAAACCAAAAAACAACTCCGAAAGATCAATCCAACCCCAAAGTAACTGTAACAGATGGCCAAAGGGCCGGGAGATATCAAAGCATGGCTGGCCAATTGGCTTCCACTTGTTGACAAAGCAATGAGGGATGCGCATGCACGTGAGCAGCCTTCCCAATCAGGGTAACTATGCACCGATGTGGGATTCCCATAGCAATAGCGGGCGATTTCGCCTAGAGTAAATAGTTAGTCGTACAGCACCCTCCGGAGTTTTGTTCAATTTCTCCGGTGGGGGGCTTACACTAGGCCCATCCTATGTGGGCGCCCTCGTGCGCCTGAGGTATATGGGTTCGTCACGGCACCGTTCAGCGGATCGTCTGACGAGGTGTAGCCTTTAAAATAAAATTTCGTTATTTTTTTTGTAACTGTAGAAAGTGGAAAAGCATTCCCGTATCTAGATATAGAACTGTTCTGGTCAGACTAGGAAGAACTTCACTTCCGAGTCCACCTTAAACCGAACCAACAACTGAAATATCTAAACAGGGGAACTACCCACACAAATGCATGCCTCAAAAACATCCCACTAAGGGTGTTCCAAAGACTCGCTACGATGAGTGGGAATCCACGTGAACTCCCATAGTGGTGCGGAGCAGCTGTGCTGGTTTAGCCAGGTGGAAGAATCGCTGTGACATCTGTATACTCCGACAGTCGGGTCAGCAGTGCAACCATCTGGCAATACAGGAATAGCTGAGGAACTCTATATGCCCAAGGATGATGCAGTTCTTCAGCCAAGACCAATATAGAAAGTTAGCTTATCAGTACCAGCCAAATGAGATGCAAGAGAGCCAAAGCTGCATGGCTGAGTGCTGTCGAGGATTTTGTGTTCAGTTGATTTTGGCATAGTTTAAAGAAGAAGAAGTAATGAAAGGATAGTTGATCAGATACAGCCTCAGTAGCACTAGTTTCCCCACAGTCGAAGCCTTCCTGTGTGGATTGTGCCGAGGCAAAGAGTAAGTTGTTCAATCATTGCTGAGGAGATTGAATAACAGTGACAGCCAGCTTTGTGGCTGGCCTATTCACAGTGCCAGTGGAAGGAGGATCTCCACCAAGCAGAGTCCTCCACCCACAGCTCCTTTTGTGCATCTACCCTGACTGGATCTCATCGGATTAACATTGTTGCAGATTGCAGGCACAAGGAGTGGCTAACAGTGTGGAAATCGTGGAGGCAGAAGAGAGAGGAAAATCGCGACGGAAACAGCCATCCATCACGGCGAACGACCGGAAACTGGAATCGCGAACGATTCAAGTGGAAGCACCTTGTCCACCTACCAAGTCAAGGGTGCTCCACAAGATACACCAGCCAGTTCCTCGGTTAATAGGCTACCGGTGTGACCGTGTGGACGAGTGGAAGAGAGGAGTCCGACGAAAAATTGCGATCGACCAACCGCGATGAAATTAGCAATAGGAGCCTCTATGGGTGCGCCACAGCTGTGCTGGTTTAGTCGGATGGAAACAATGCTTTTCATCGTGTACAGTCAATCAGTACACACAGCATTGCAGCCATGTGACAATTTGTATATAGCTGAGGCATGCCTATGTGTTGCAGAGCATACATAGCCTTCAGTCTAGATACAATGGAATGTTCCAGACCAACAGTCCTCTCCTAGGATCTCCAACAGTAGGATATCCTCTCCAAAAGAGCCAGTTCTGTCAACTGGAGTGAAATCGTGGTAATGGTGTTTTTAGCTTATAGTAAGAAAGATAGTAATGAAAGAGTAAACCTGAGACCCAGTAGCACCCTCAGCCCTGCAGTAGATAGATTCCTGTATGGCCGGTGCTAGGGCAATGTAACCAGCTCCCCAAGTACTCTGAAGCAGTGATTGGGTAGCATTGATCCAGCTCTCTTTGAGCTGGCCTTTCAGTCAGCGGAGGAGATCTCCATCAAATAGAGATCTCCCTCCCAGCTCTTGTGTTCCTACAACTGAGTTCCCTGGCGGAAATTCATAGGATTAACATAGCCGCATAGCGACACAAGAGTGGCTCTTCAGTGTGGAAGACGAGTGGAAGAGTGGAAGCCTCGAACCAACAAGAAAATCGGACATCGAAGGCGCCGATCGGACCGTAAACTCGATTCCCGTCGGTTCGAGGAGATATCCATAGGTCCACATACTAACCTGAAGGTGCTTGACAAGATACACCAGCTATCTTCTTGTTAATCGGCCTAGTTCAGCCGGCCGATAGAGGAATACGAGCGCCATTGTCGATCCATCCTTTTCGACGATTTTCTTCACAGAAAGATAGCGATTTCCTCAGTCGTGCCTGAAGGATACTGGCAAACGAACCGGAACTCACAAGGGACTCACAGGACGCACCTCTTCCGAGTGACGTATTTCACCGTACCTCTGTTCCGAAAGCAAGCCGACACTTCGAGAACTCCTCCTTCTCACAATTTCGATCGAAACGCGAACTTGACTCGAAGGAACCCGGAAAGCCTCGAAAGGATACGGGGCTCCGTACGGATCGATCGATTGCTGTTAAGGTAACTCGGAGCCACTCGAGAACACCTTTCGGACTGTTTCCAAGGTATCCAAGGGTAGTAGAGGCTACAGGACAACCTCCTCTGTCATCTAACAGAAGTGCAAGTCCTCAAATCCTCATTTTGGATTTTCTGTGATATTGTTTGTGCATCACCTCTCCAGCCACACATACACAACAACACCAACAATACTCATCCAACCGGTACCCTTCCAAGGAACAGGCGGCAACACCACTACACTACCACTACACTACTGCACTGTTTAGCCAGCGCACCAATCATCATGGGCCGCAAGAAGAAGAAGCAACAGCAGGAAATGGATGCCAGTGACACCATATCACTAGCATCCAATGGCACCAACACACAGGACAACACCGCCCAACAGATCCACTACTGCAGAGGAACCAGCTCCAGCTCCAGGTCCAGCTCCAGCTCCTCCTGTCAGAACACCTGTGGATCCCCCAGGCTGTTTGTTACCACCACACCACAGTGCCATCCCCAGCTTGGCTTCCTCCAATCTAGCCAACCATGACACAACAACAATGATCAGCCAACCTTTTGAGCAGCTGACATTGGCATTGACAGAGGCATTGAAGCAAGCTGCCCTTGATTCCTTCAATGCATCCTCTTCCCTCCATGGCATACTATCCCATGGCTCCATTCCTACTAGAACACCTGTGTTATCACTCAAGCCCAGCCCTGAGATAAAGGCTGGGAGGACCGATTCAGAACCAGGCAGTTTGGAACAGAGCTTGTTGGGTGATGTTAGGGACCCTCTTGGTTATCCATTCCAACTGCATAATGTTGCCATGGATGTTGCCTCTCCACCTATTGGAGATGGCCACTATGACCAAGTATGGGCCCCCAATGGGGAGGAATACACCCACCAACCAACAACAATCCCATCACATCCCAGGGTAGAGGACACTCCCATTCAACCTGTGTCCTCCACCATCCAACCTACTGGAGTTGTCTCATCCCAGACACCAGTGTATTCAGCCATCCCTCCAATCAGCCAACCTTTTGTGCCTCTGGAGGCGCAGTCAAAGAGGAACTCCACTCCCAACCCTCTAGGCAGCCAATGGCCACAACCACAGGTGAAGCAATCCATCTTCTCCAACATGCATGGCATGTCTCCCATGAAAAGGATGCAGGGAAGGAGTCCCAACAATGTAGCAGGTCCTGTTGGTTCAGGAAATCCAGACTGCTTTGGTGGCAATCCACAAGGTAATGACAGCGGTGGCCAAGGAGATCCTGATGGCACCGACCCATGCCCTGGAGGAGGCGGAGGCGGTGGCAATCCAGAACCGGAAGGCAGGTACTTCCGTGCCAAGGCAGATGCCACAGCCTACCCTACTCTTAGTTCCAACAAGGAGTTTGACAATTGGTATGAGGCTTTCATTGTCATAGCCAGAGCCCAAGGCCTCTACAAGGTCTTCGACACTGACTATGCTCCCATGACCACCAAGTACTTTGAGGAACTCCTACGGATGAACCGGTGGATCTATGCTGTCCTCCTGAACACAGTGAAGACAACCAATGGAAGAGTCATTGTGAAGTCTCACTTCCATGATGTTGATTGCTTTGCAATCCTTGTGGAACTGATCCAGGATGCACATGCATCAGTAGCAGGCTCCCTGGACCATGTTGAGGTCCTCCATTGGCTTTCAAGTGTCCAGTACACTCCAAGGCAGGGCTCTGCTGTTGAATTTGTCATCAAGTTTGACGAGACCATCACCCACTACAATGATGGCCATCGAGATCCTAGCGACAAGCTCAGCGACAGCATGCAGAAGCTGTTCCTGCAACGTGCCTTCACTGATGTCCAAGTCTTGAACGACATCAGATCCCGTGAGCATGAAAGAATGTGTCGTCATGGTCCCAAGGAGTGCTTCACCTATGAGGCGTACAAAGAGACACTGAAGAATGCCGCCACCCACTACGATGTCAACCGCCATGTTCCCGACTCCCACCTAGCCAACCTAGCAACTGTCGATCAGGAACAAGGCCATACCAACGATGGGGAGCAGCAAGTCCTCGGACTCCCAAGCACAGACTGGTTCAAGATTTCGCCCGCCGCCCGCCAACTCTGGTGCAAGCTCTCTGATGCCGACAGACAAGTCCTGATAGGTTCGACGCCGCCTGTAGTTGATTCCAAGAGTGAAGCTGACCCAGCAGTCGGGGACACCTTGGATTCTCCCATGGCAGATGACGAAGCCTTCAAGGGCAAGCCCAAGCCCAATCCCAACCTGGATTTTTGATGGGGCGACTAGTGTACGTGCTGCACCGGTCAAGCCCAAGGAAACCAGGCACCGCCCATGTCTGC